ACACACACACACACACACACACACACACACACACACACACACGTGCATGCACGTGCAGTTTATATATTTATTATATAAATGTTTTTCCTTCATGAGTGTCTGCCCCTTCTGTGCCTGGTCCCTGTAGAAGTTAGAAGAGGGTATCAGATCCTCTGGAACAGTAGTTACAGGCAGCTATAAGCCACTGTGTGGGTGCTGGGAATCAAACATAGGTCCTCAGAAAGAGCAGCCAGTGCTCTTAACAGCTGAGCCATCTCTCTAGCCCCCAGTATCTGGTTCTTAACAGAGACATCATCTTCCTGCCTTCTCCTCCCTGCTCTCTTTGTGCGTCACTGTAAGGCTAGCCCTGCACTCTGCCTCACTCACTTAGAAACCCCGTGCCCTTCCAACTCGTCCTTCATCTCCCTGTACCTTGTGCTGAGTTTAAGTGACCAGCAGGGCTCGCTCACCATCTTCACATAGTACCACCTTCACATTTGTGCTTGTGCATGTGTACATGCATGCTGTGTGTGTGTGTGTGTGTGAGCGTGCGCGCATGTGTGTGTGTATGTGTAGAGAAAGCTAGTTGAGTGCTGAACATGCATGCATTCTCTCTCTCCTCTGTTGATGTCACCCACAGTGACAGTGGCCGTGATGTGACTCACTGCTTCAAATGCCTGCCTTGACTTCTCCACAGTGATGGGTTGTAACCTAGAGTCAAGGGCTAAAACAAATCCTTGCTCCCCTGAGTTGATTTCTGCCAGGGTCTTTTATCAAAGACAGAAACAAAACTAGCTGGGCTCTAACCTGATTCTTCTGGGCGATCCTTTGTCCCTTCTTCCAGCGAAGCACTGGTGTCAGATCTGGCAGCTCCCGGTCCTCCTCATCAATCACGTGCTCACCCAGGCTATAGGCAGCTTCAAACACAATGGGACTGATGACATCCTGGACTCTCCGCTGCGACAGCAAACAAGAGAGAACATTAGCAATGAACATCTGGGGATGTTGGGGCAGTAGTCCACTGTGTACAAAGGCCCACCCACCATACCACTCCCTCACCTTAGGTGGCCCTCACAACCACCTGCACAAGCTAACATTTTGTCTTATAGGCAAGGTAGGTGAGGCCCAGGGCAAAGGCCAATTTGCTCTGGTCTCTGTTGCCAGGCTGGGATTTCTCAGGCTCCCTTGAGTGATACTAATCCTTTTCTCCACACCATATGGAAGACATTACCTAACGTGTCCCCCACGTGTGCTTAGTTAGGTGCCAGCTGGTGGCTGGGAGAGTATCTGCACTCTCTTTTGCTAACCCTTTGTTTTCGTGGGAGTATGGATTACCACAGCACTTTTGCACTGAGATCAGTGATTTCTGTCAGGGCAGGGACCCAGCAACACTACGCTGAACAGTGTATGTGGTGGTGAAGCCATCAGAGATGTCAGATTTCTTTTCTCTAGAACTCAAGGACTTCAAGGCCCAAGGGAATGGTGGACTGGTGGGGTGGACCTTCTCTGTTGCCATGACAAAACATAACCAAGGCAGCATATAGAAGAGTCTATTGGGGTTATGGTCCCAGAGGGTTAGAGTCTGACATGGCGAAAAGCACAGCAGCAATCGGCAGGAGCAGGAAGCTAAAAGCAGGAAGGGCTGAGGTGGGGGAGGGGGAACTACAAGCGGTGGAGACTCTTAAATCTCAAAGCCCACTTTCAATGACACATTTCCGTCAAGCAAGGCAGCATCTTCTATACTTTCCCAAGTAACTTTACTACCTGGAAACCAAGTGTTCAAATCCTGGAGCCTATGGCGGGGAGAGTTCTCCTTCAAATCACTACAGGAGGGAAGAGAAGATGCTGGGTCCATGATGTGGCTTCTAGAGATAAAGGACATGTCCCTGTATCCTACCACCACACAGGACAGGAACGAAGAAAGCCCAAGACTCAGTTCCACAGGACATAGGCCTGTTAAAGACCTGGGGCTTTTCAACTTTTAAGTTCATGATCTTTATGCATACTGGCACTGATTCTGGGTGACTCTAGGTACCACATGCTCATAGGTGAGAATCAGAGGCAAGAATAGTGCTTGTCAGTAGTCTTGCACTAAAGACCAGCACGTTATCTGGGAGTCATCTACCTTAATGGTAAGGCTGAGGAGGTCGTCACCACAGCTCAGTCTCTCTGCTCTGTAACCACCATGGAGAACACCGGGTGTGGTGTGGGGAACTGAGAAAGGCCTTGTAAGGGACAAGAGAAGGGAGAGATGGTTCTCAGAATGGGACTTGGGCTCCCTAGGAGTGGGGTAGTCTGGTTAGTAAGTGTGGGGGTGCACACCAAAATAAAGCAGGGTTAAATAGCATCTTACTATTTTGCTTGTCAACAAACAGCCCATGAATTTACACTATTCTCTGTGAAGACTGGAGGGGTTAGAATTAGAGTCTCCTTGTGTTCAAAATGGTGGAATGTTCCAAATGTCTCAGGAAGTTACCAAAAGAGAGCTTTCTCCAACCTTTTACAACAGCCAATTCCCTCCCACAGAGGTAACTATGGTTGCCCTTGGGGACAGCTGGGGAAAGGCTCTCATCCAGTATGAGAGAAATGGGCCAATCAGTTTGGCTGTCAACCTCACTGTCATCTCTATGCTCAGCACGCACCCTGGGGAACATCAGTGTCCTTTGTAAGGATGCCCACTATGTGACTATATGGATGACAAACAACCCTCACTTTGGATGAACTATGCTTTAGAAGCAAAGGGAGGTGGCCAGCCTGGGGCAGAGTTGATTCACAGAATGGGGCAGTCTGGTTGGTAAGCATGGGGGCAGGGCACACCAAAATAAAGCAAGATTAAACAGCATCTCGAGGTTTTGCTAGCCAATTCTAATTTTACTTGAGTTGTGTCTGAGAAGGGCCTTGTGGCCCCTGGTTTACTGAGCCATGGATCCCGTGTTTTCTCACAGATCTCCTCCTGATAGGGTGTTGAACAGAATGCACTCAGAGGTGTTGGATGCTAGAACCTTCCTGTAATGGTTCTGGAGGGGAGTCAGCAGTACTAAGCATTGTGAGACGGGAGGAAGATGTAACCAAGAGTCAAGGTATGGGAGGAACAGAACAAAGGGACACAGTGACATCAGAGGCAGGTGTCTGAACAAGAAGCAGATGGTGCATATCTGTGTTCAGCAAAACATCCACCTGGGAAAAGAGTCAACTCCTGAGCCTAGACAAAAATACACGACCTCCCCAGCAAAGTGACGTAAGCATCTTAGATAAAGAGTTTCCAGAAAGTTCTTTGGAACTCTTCATCTTAGGACAGATCTTTAAGACTCAAGATCTTTCCAGGAGCAAGACACGCACCTAGGATCCAGGTGCCCCTAGCTTGCTGACTCCAACCAGAATTCAAAGCTGGTTGATGCTATGTAGAAAGATGGACGAACAGATGCCAGATTTGCACTTTTGTGGATGCATTCTTGTTTTTTTTTTTTTTTTTTTTTTGAGGTCGGTTAACTGTTTCATGGTCTTTTACTTTAATATTTAAATATTTCATGTCAAAGTAAGTCCACAAGGACACTGTTACTCTGGGCACAAGGGAAGATGAGAACAGGGGAGGGGCAGCAGTCCTGGCACATTTCTGGATTGCTATGCATATTTCAGGGCCTTCCCTAAGGTCTGAGTTAACCTCATTTTACTCAATTCTCACAATGTCTGGTGGATGGATTTCTGTTCGCCTTTTACAGAGGGGCATAACAGAGACCCAGGAGCTCCACCCCAGAGTTCCATGTATGGTAGGACCACACTTCCAGGAACCAAAAGCAAAGGAGATTTCCTTGCTGCCCATTAAACACCTTGCTTGCTGCTGTGTCAAGGGTCCCACTGTGTAGCTGGTTGGGGCTGGCTTTGAGTGTGTTGTGCACAGTATGGGCTGACCTCAATCTCATCAACTTCCTGCCTGTGTAGCTGGTTGGGGCTGTGCTATGCATAGTACAGGCTGACCTCAATCTCAGGACCTTCCTGACCCAGTGGCCTGAGTGCTGCATACACAAGTAGGTGTGTGCAATCACCTAGCTCATAAAGTGCTATTTAAAAACCATTCAGATCACATTAAGTTCCAGCAACTTCTTTTAAAAATGCCTTGCTCGGGGGCTTGCCAGATGGTTTGATGGAGAAATTGCTTATCCCGCAAGCCTGAGTTTGAGTCCCCAGCAAAGATGGGCATATTGGTGTACCCTTGTAACCCTAGCACAGGAGAGGTGCCGATTGGCAGATCTAGGGAAAATGGCAGAGTGCAGGTTCACTGAGAGATCCTGTCTCAAAAACGGAAGGTGGAAGATGAGAGAGGAAGGCATTCTGGCTTCTATAGGTACATGTGGGCACCCCTCCCACGCCACGATACACAGAGAGCACACACACACAGCGTAGCCCCCAGCAACCCCCCAACAAGAGCACAATACACCCCCCTCAAAAAATAAATGAATAATTGGTATCGAGGAAATAAAGACATGAAGTGAGGGTGTTTGTAAGTTTATGACCACACACAGTGACTGCCAAGGAGGGAGACCTTAGTTGTGGTGTGCCTGAGTTCGGACCATGAATACAAGTTGACATCCAGGTGGGTGGATGGTATTTTCTGGTGGTGGCAATTGCATGAGCCTACTTTAAGTAATGACTTTGAAAAGCAGCTTCTTACTTCGAGTTGCAATAGCTGGGAGCAGCTGGGAACTCAAACCACACTGAGTGGTGGGCGGGGACAGAGGAGGGTGCGGGCAGGGATTAGAAACAGGCCCTGCAGAAGCCTAGCCTCTCCTGTTGCTGGACTGGTCTGCTCCAAGCTGCAGAGGGAAAATAGCAGGCTGTTTGGGGGTTTCCCCATCCGTTTTTGGAAGTCCTGCTTCCTTCTGTTCCGCACCACATTAAGTGGAGGGAACCGGCCAGAATAGAAGTCTGTGGTTCTCTGGCATTCACGACAGTGGCTTAAATTTTACTACTTAAAAAGTCGCTACTACAAGCTGATTTTTAATTTTCTTTTTTCTTTTTTCTTCATCTCTGAGGCATATGCCCCAGACTGGCTCAAAGTTTTTATGTAGTCAAAAGATGACTCCTCATCGTTTTGCTGCCGCCTCCAGAGTGCTGAGATTACAGGCGTACACAACCCCTCTACAAAACTACAAACAAAAACCTCTTAGGTTGAACACATACTAGGCCTCATCTGAAGAGAGATCAGAATCTATCTTTTCCTGCCGAAGGCATCAGAACTCTCCTACTTTGAAAACAGGAGGCATGCTTACGGAGGACACCCAGGCTGCTTAGGGAGAACACCCAGGCTGGTCGCAGAGCTGGCTGTGGCTGGGGTTTTTAATATGGAATGTAACACATGCTCCATTTGAAATTTATTGGGTGCTTACTTTATGCCAGGCAGTGTGCTGGGCAGCAAGGACACAGATATGAAAGACCTAGAGGGAAATAACAGTGCTAGAGGGAAAAGCCAAGCCATGACAATGCCCTACTGCTTGCACTAGGGAAGAGGTGACTTTGAGGACACAAAGGAAGTTCACACCTGATTCTTAAAGGCCTGGCAGGCTTCCCAGAAGAGGTACTCCTTGGCTGAGCTATAAAACGGAAGGACTTGTGCCAGACAACAGGCGTAAGGCTCAGCTGGTACAGCGGTGCACAGGAAGCTTAGAGATATTAGTGACTATATAGACCCAAAGACAGAAAAGTCGGGCTCATGGGCAGGGGCAGGGTAGCTCATGCAAAAATCAGCTCCCTGATGTCCCTGCCTAAGACTGAGTGAACCCCGTGATAAAAGTTAGGGGACACAGGGAGAGAGTTAACATGACCCTACAGGCTATGTCTGGAAAGATTTGCTAGCTGAAGCACAGTGGTATGTATTGGTGACAGTAGGGTTGGGAAGAAGCTGGGAAGGTTTAAAGAAAAAGATCTCTTTTGGAACAGCCCCTGTTCCAGTTGTTCAGGAC